TGTGAGGTTCGAACTCCAGCAACCTGAGGCTGACAGCTTTGTGGAAGCAGCCACTTAAAGGCCTGAGCTAGGGCCAGGCCCCCTTTATTTTATTTTTATTTTTATTATTTTTTTGCAGAACCGGGGATTGAACTCAGGCCCTTGCGCTTGTCAGGGAAGCGCTTATTCTACTGAGCCATCTCCCAGCCCCTACAGTGTATTTTATGATTTAATATTTTAATATGTTAGAATTAACATTTTAAATATATTTTTAGGCAAAAATCATTAAAGCCATAAATGCTATGCATATAAATACATATACTGTACTGTACACTACAAAATCCTGCTGTTGTGGTTTGGGGTTTTTGAAAGTTGAGCAACATGTACAGGACACGGTCTATAATAGTGTTTTATAATGAATCACTCAAGAATCCCATACTACAAGTGCAGGAAATCTATCCACACACTAAATACTAAAGAATCCAGCTGAGGGCGTAGAGCTCATAACAGTGCCTCACACCAGTCCAATGGGAGGCCTGGAGCCCACAACAAAGTCGCATGCAGGCCTGCTTCATGGGTCTGTGCTGGAAAGGCCCAGAGTCCCCGGTAGAAGCTAGGAAATCTATGTCAGTGGGATGAAGGATCTGTGCTGGCAAGCTGAGGGATGCGAACCGGAGCTAGAAGCAGTGCTCAGGGTAAGCACCAGAGCTCCCCACAAAGTACCACAGCCATCCTCAGCAACAGTGAGGTCCCAAGCTCCTCCAGCAAGGAGGAAAGCCCGAGTTCCCATCAGGAAAGCCAATGCGACAAGCAAATTGTGCTCATGGTGAGGACCCAAGCTTCTCCGGAGTTCATCGGAAAAGCCAGCATGACGAGGCCCTCCAGCAGAGCAGCCCGAGAACTAGCCACTTCAGCAGCTCCAACAGCTTCTCCAAACAGCATCCCTAACAGCGTTTTTGCAGCTTTTCCTGTTCTGCCTTTTATGCTACTGGCACCCATCCTCAGGTGGGCCTCCCACACCCAGCACCATGCTAGTTCAGTGCAGCTGGGTAGAGGAAGTTGACCATCGGGTAGCTATCCACCACACCCTCTCAGTATAGCGAAAAATCCACAATAAATTATCTAGGTTTTTTTTTCTTTTGTTTTTTTTTTTGGTTTTGTTTTTTGCGGAACCAGGGATTGAACTCAGGCCCTTGCACTTGCCAGGCAAGCACTTATTTTACTGAGCTAACTCCCCGGCCCCTAGTTGAACATTTTTTGAAAACCTGTGAAACAGTGAGCCCACAAAAGTTGGGCTATGAAATAACGAAGGACTACTGTATCTGACATGACAGGTTTGGGTGGGAGTTTTAGTTATTGGTGTATAGGAGAGTGGTGTGGAGTGAGGGGAAGGCAGCGAGGATGACAGCCTAATGGTTTTTACCAGTGACTTTCTTAATGTTGGGTATTACTTTAAAAACTATTACTACTAGGGGCTGGGGAGATATAGCTCAGTGGAGTAAGTGCTTGCTTGGCAAGCGTAAGGTCCTGAGTTCAATCCCTGGTACCACTAAAAAAAGCCCAAAACAACAAAAAAAACTTATTACTATATTGAAAGTATGCTGATCAGGTCTGGGGACAGTTACTTAGGCATGAACCATAGTGTCTTTTTTCCCCCCAGAACTGGGGATTGAACTCAGTTGCCAGGCAACTGAGTTGTGCTTGCCAGGCAAGTGCTTATTATGTTGAGTCTCCCGGCCCCAAACCATAGTGTCTTAAAAGGCTTTTTTTTTTTTTTTTTTTTTCCATCTAGATCCATGAACTGGGACTGGATAGAGTCTCCTTTCCTACAGCCATGGAAAACAAAGAAATGCTCAGATCTAACTAATAAGTCCATTTGCTCTGGGTTGTTTTTTTTTTTTTTTTTTTTCTTTTACATTGATACCAAATTGCGAATTTACGTAATGAAGTTTAGAAATTCAGTGCTTTCCCATAAAAATCTTCAGATTCTTAAAACAGCAGATTTTGCTTTTTTTTTCTTTTTCCTTTTTTTTTTCTTTTTCCTTTTTTCTTCTTTTTCTTTTTTTTTTTTTTTCGGAACCAGGGATTGAACTCAGATCCTTGCGTTTGCCAGTCAAGCGCTTATCCTACTGAGCCATCTCCCCGGCCCCTTGTTTTTTTTTTGCTCTTTTTCCTTTTGGTGGTATCAGGGATGGAACTTGGGACCTTGTGCTTGTGAGGCAGGTGCTTATGCGCCTAGCTATCTCCCTGGCCTGATCTTGCTCTATCAATCAAGACTTGGCGGCACCTGTCCTGTCTTTAGGCAGGACAAGTGCTGGTGGGTCCCTTTGTGTACCCTGAGTGTGGGGTTTGGCACTTGGTTTCAAATGCTCTTGAAGTCATCTAAAACTCAGATACTGAATCTTGTGTTTATGTTGCAGAAGTTTGAATAGAGGGTCTCATTTTCAAAGCAAGCAAATGGTACAATTTAATAAAACAAGGCATTCACTGAAAAGACTTGAAATGCCCTTAAAAGGCAATGGAGCCGGGGAGATGGCTCAGTAGAGTAAGTGCTTCCCTGGCAAGCACAAGGGCCTGAGTTCAGTCCCCGGTTCTGCCAATTTAAAAAAAAAAAAAAAAGACAAACTTATTTATGGGGACCAGGGAGATGGCTCAGTGGAATAAGTGCTTCCCTGACAAACACAAGGGTCTGAGTTCAATCCCCGATTCGGGGGGGGGGGGGGGGGAGGCACTGGAGGGCTGGCCATATAGCTCAGCAGATTAAAGTGCCTGCAAGCAGGCACGGGGCCAGGGGTTTGATCCCCAGGCCTGACGTGCCCCACTGGGCATGATGGCATGCACCTGTAATCCCAGCACTTGGGAGGCTTAAAACAGAATCACTACTAGTCCAATCTACATAGTGAGGCTCTGTAGACCCTGTCCTAAATACATTTAAAAAAAAAAAAAAAAAAACTTACTAGAAAAAGTAATTCTTTCCATAATTAATAGTTCAAATGAGTTGGTAAAAATTTAAGATTTGAACAGAGCAAGGTAGCTTGAACTGTCTGTGTCTGTGGACTGTAGCACCCAGACATTACTGCACTAGGGGAAATCTGGGCACATACTGGGGCGAGAGACTGTTCTAGAACATCCAAGGCTTTTCTTCTTTCCCCAGTTGCTCTTGACAGTTTGTAGTCTGTTTTACTTTTTTTTTTTTTTTTTAATTTCATGTATCTAGGGGCCAGGGAGATGGCTCAGTAGAATAAGTGCTTCTCTGGCAAGCACAATCCCCGGTTCCACCAAAAAAAAAAAAAAAAAAACCAACCCAAAATATAAATTAATTAATTTTATGTATCTAGTCCAGGGTCTCACTGCACAGCTCATACTCATAGTGAGCCTTCTGTTCCAGTCTCCCCAGCCCTGGGATTACAGGCATCACCACCACACCCCATCTTGGTGGCCAGCTTGATGCCCGAGGCGGGGCTGGCACAGCATGTGGTACTGGGGATCACATCCAGGTCCTTGCGCTTGCCTACGCAGGCACTTACACCGCTGAGCTATGTCCGCGGCCCCGTTTGTGGTCTTGGTGGTTGGCCTCTAAGTCAGGGGGTCCTGACATGGCACTGTTGAGCTCTGGGAGCATTTCTTTGTTGTGAATACAGTCTTGTGTGTTGTGGGATGTTTAGCAGCTTCCCAGGCCTCTACCCCATAGCATCTTTCCCTGGTAATGACAACCTCACAAAAAGAAAAATGTCTAGACTTTGTCAGATGTCCTTAGGGAGATAAAATCACTTCTGGCTGAGAAGGGTTGTCAGAGATCTGTTTTCCAGAGAAACACATATTTTGGCATAACATTTCTCTTTCTAGTAACTAGTTTGTTTTGTTCTCAATGAGTAGGATCTTCTCTAAGAAAAAGCAGTGACAGCAATGGCACCTGGAGGTTTGGCCTTTTTGTTCTTTGCACAGGTGTCATGTGTCAGTCTGTCCTCACCCCCCTGCCCGAAGACACTGGTGAGTTTGTGGTGCTGGGGGCATTGGTACCATGGGTACCAGTATCTTGCTCAGGAATGAGAAGATCAGGTCCTGTGTGGGCTCTAGACTACCATGTTATTGGGTAAAATGTATTGGACAGGAGTTCCACTTTCTGTGCCTTCTTAGCCTCTGTTTTGGCTTTGCTTTGCTTCTTAGTTTTGACAATAGACTGGCCAGGCTCTGGTTCCAAGAGAAATTCCATTGTATTGCCGCCTCTTCTGCGCTAAAGTTTACTTGAAGTCTTAGGAACTTCAGTTCCACAGACCTGATTTACTCTAGGCCTTTCCCCAGGTGCTAGTTGCAGAGTTCAAGCCTGTGTCCGTAGAAAACAGATTATAAAATAGTTGCTAAACATAAGCACAAAGGGATGTGAAAGAGAGACTTTACCCTGATGAGGTGATTGACCTGGCAGAGCCGGAGAAGACATTACAGAGAGGAGACATGTGGGGTTTGCAGATGAGCAGGAATTTGCACAGGGAAATGATGTTGCTGGCACTTGGGGTCACAATGGCTCAGTGCTGCAGGTGTGGGTGAAGATGCTTTGGCATTTAGACATGATCCTGCAAACTGTTGAAGGGCTTCAAGCCAGGACTGAGGATCACATTCAAGGTCCAGAAGTTGATTTGATTTGTGTGGCTCTGTGAAGGACAGGCAGAAGGCTCGGAGGAGGCTGTAGGAAGAATGCCAGAACTGTTGCTGTGGCCTTGGGGCTAGGAGGAGAGGACCTACAAAGGGAGTGAGGGCCCCAAACTCCAGAGTCTAGTCCACGTCCGTCACCTCAGAGGACATAGTTGTGTCCTTGCCTAGAGAGAGGTCACTCTCCTTAGTTCTGAAAATAAAGACCTACGTTTTTATTTAAGAGAGATATTTTTCCACTTTTTATATACATTTTTTTCCTCTAGGAAATAGACAGACGGTTGGAAAAAAAACTGAAGATCACACAAAAAGAGAGGTAAGGCTGCTGTCTGGTCTGAGGGCTCGTGCTCTCTGCTATGGAGAGCTGGACAGTCAGTGGTGTCTGCAGCTGGCCTTAGGTTTAGCAGTCAGGCTCTTGGGCAGCGAACCCTCCCTCCTGGTTGGAGACCAGAATGTGATGGCCTGGGGCTAGGGGGATGAGGCTGAGGTGCTGCACCTGTCCCACCCTCAGTGGGCCCCAGTATGCTTGCCTGATGGAAAGTGGGGAGGCGGCAAGTAGTGAGGTTGGGGTTTTAAAGCTGGCTGTGCCCCAGTTGCTGAATTTGGAGCAAGTTGTTTCCCTCCTTGGACATCAGTTTCTTCCTCTGAGATGAGCAATGGACATTCCTTTGGGATGAGTTCGGGCAGATGATCTCTCTGGGGGCTGAGTGACTTGGCAGTTGAGGACACCCTGGAAAGTTTTTGAAAGACCTTTCAGGGATAGCTGTATTCCTTAACCAGACAGCAGAGGAAGTGGGTTTCCAGAGCAGGTGCATATTGTCTTTAGCCTTAAATAATCTGTTGGTTGTCCCAACACAAGTGACAGGGAAGAAGGTAGGATTTTGGATTTGCTTAAAGGGCTACACAGTCATTCCTGTGCTACCTGCCCACCTGCTGGCTTTCCTGGCTCTCTGCCAATGTGATCAGATTCCTGGCTTTCTGTTAGTGTGCTTCCCTTGGCAGCTACACACCTTGCTGCTCACGGGGCCTTACCATGTTCCTGTCTTGGCCAGGACTCTGACCAGATCACCCTGGAGCAGCTGGGTTCCTCAGGCCCTACCCCTTCTGACCACCCAGGCACTCAAAAAAAAAAAAAAAAAAAAAACCCAACCCTGTGGGCCCATGTGGCTCTAAAATTAGGGTTGCTCTGGGAGGGTCCGGGTGGCTGGTGTGGGTGATCATTCTTGCCTTGGTCCCTTTCTCCTTCCATGGCTTTTGTTTTTCTCCCTGTGTTGTTTTCCCTTTGAGTTTTGTCAGTTCCTCCTGGCCTTGTGGACACATCACCTTGATGTGCACATGCTTGGATAGTGCTTCTCTTGAGCGCTGCCATGTGCTGTTTCTAGGATTGTCTTTCACTCCAGCCCCGCCGCTATCCAACAGACTGGAAAGCCCTGGTGAGGGAATTTTATCTGCCCAGTTACTATTTGGAAGAAGTGACTTGTGTGATGCAGCTTGCTTATGGGAGGCCCGGTCACTCGGGCAGGCTGGGACTGTCTGAGGAATCCTGTCTTGCCGCCTGGCAGGGCTGTTGTAGTGGGCCCTGAGTAGTGTTTGACTTGTTTGAGACCACGAGGTGGAGGACCTGGCTGGGGGCTCCCTCCACCAGCCTCTCAACAGTGCTCTCTGTAAGGAAATGGGGATTTTAACTGAAGTCACTCAATTCTGGACATGAAATGTTTTGCTTCAGGGGCCAGTGCTTGGCAGGCCTGTGGTGACAATGGATAGAAGGCCTAGGCTGGAGCAGTGCTCTGTCCGCAGTCAGGCATGAGGTCCGAGCAGCAGTTCCTGTGCGCTGCCAGAGCTGGTAGTGAAGTTGCTTACTTCAGAGACTCTTCTGAGGAGTGGGAGTTGGAGTGTCTGTCTGGTCAGAGGCCAGAGACTGTGAAGGGGGGCAGTACTGAGGGTGAGTGGGGGCCGTGGACGGGCCTCCAAGCAAGGGTGTGACTGGTGAAGCTGTGTTTGCTCTTTGTCAGCAGGAAATCCAAATCTCCTCCCAAAGTGCCCATTGTGATTCAAGACGATAGCCTTCCCACCGGGCCCCCTCCACAGATCCGCATCCTCAAGAGGCCCACCAGCAACGGTGTGGTCAGCAGCCCCAACTCCACCAGCAGGCCAGCCCTTCCAGTCAAGTCCCTAGCACAGCGGGAGGCTGAGTACGCCGAGGCCCGAAAGCGGATCCTGGGCAGTGCCAGTCCTGAGGAGGAGCAAGAGAAACCTATCCTTGACAGGTGAGTGCAGCTGGTAGAGCTGAACATCCTCCTCATGGGTGGTCTACCCAGAGCAAATTCAAGTAAGGCTTCGTTAATGGTAGACTAGTGAGACACCACTGCTGTGCTGTCAGCACCCGCTTGTGGGCCTGTGCACTCAGTGCTGAGGTGGTTGTGGTGGTGGCTTGCCACACAGGTAAGCTGTGTCTGCCATTTGCAAACTGTGTGGGCAGTGCTGAAAGCCACATAAAGGCATGACTGGAATGCAAATCTCTCACTTTGGGCTGGGGAGATAGCTCTGTAGTCTAAGCACCTGCATGGCAAGTGCGAGGACCCAGGTTCAATCCCCTGTACCACATGCTGTGCCATCCCTGGAACCCCAAAGTGGGCGTGGTGGTGCATGCCTATAATCCCAGCACTGGGGAGGCTGAAACAGGAGAATCACTGTGAGTCTGGGCTGCATAGTGACACCCTGTGCCAAATAAATACATATAAAAGAGTTTAAAAAATTAAAATCTCGGGGCTGGTGAGATGGCTCAGTGGTCTAAAGCACCTACTTAGAACAAGCTTAGCAAAGCACAGGGACTGCGGTTCAATTCCCAGCACCACATGCCAGCCAGCCCCGCCCCCTGGTGGGCTGAGCTGCCCCCCACACACAAATAAATAAAATTTTTAAAAAAATAGTTTAATTTGAAAAAAAATTAGGGGCTGGAGAGATGGCTCAGTGGTCTAAAGCACCTACTTGGAACAAGCTCGGCAAAGCACAGGGACCGCGGTTCGATCCCCCAGCACCACATGCCAGCCAGCCGCGCCCCCTGGTGGGCTGAGCTGGCCACACACACACACACACACACACACACACACACACACACTAAATAAGATGTAAAAAAAAATTTTTTTTTTTAAAAATTAAAATCTCCCACTTTCCTCTTCTTATCTCACAATACCTAACCACTAGCCTAATCTGAAAAATGGGATCGTGGTAATGCCTGCCTCACCAAGGCATGCAGTTGAGGCAGTGAGAAAGTCACACAGTGGAAACTGCTGTTCGTGCATCAGTGTTACCTTGCAGTCTTTTCACTGTGATACTTTGGTGTATTTCCTAAACACTGTTTCATGCTTAACTTTTTGCCCTGTAGCACTACAGGTTGTGTTACTTGTGGATTCCTAGGAAAGTGGTATTTGTTTACATGGTCTCTAACTTTGAGGGGCTTCTTTGATCTGACATTCTAGGGCTTGATGAGCTAACCACTGATGGAGAGTGTAGTTCAGTGGAAGAGTTAAAACTTGGCAGCGGGATGGCATTGAAAGGCTAGGTGGTAGGAAGGAGCTTGGTGACTTAGGGAGGAGTGAGGCAAGAGGGGCTGGAGCCCCACGTGTAGAGTCAGGAAGACGCAACAGCGAGATGGCAGGGCTGTCCTATCTGGCTTTGAAGGCAGCGGTGCGGGGTGCACAAGCTGCTGCTCCGTGTTGGGAAGCCCTCAGGGCTGGCACCACAGGGTCTCCTAGGGCCTTGGCCTGGAATCGCGTTTTAATGTTTCAGTGAGCCTCACACACAGGAAACTAACCCACCAGAGCGTCTCACGTTGGGAGGTTGCATGTAGATCCCAGTGTAAAATTATGGGCGCCTCCCTCCCCCACATCACTCTGCATAGGAATAGTGGGCTAGAAAATGACTTCATCTATAAATATTCAAAAAAGAAAGAAAAATGACTTCACAGGAGAGGGTCTACAAAGGGAGTGAGGGCCCCAAACTCGAGTCTAGTCCAAGTTTATCACCTCGAAGGAGCTGTGTTCCAGTTAGTAGGAGGAGCAGGAACAACTAAATCTACATGCTTTCTGTGTTTTCCCCCCTCCTTTTGAACCCAGCGTCTTCACACTGAGCTATATCCCAAGGCTTTGCTTTTCTTTTTCTTTTTTTTTTTTTTTTTTTTTGAGACATGGTCTCATGAAGTCACTAAATTCTCCACACTAGGCTCGAAACTTGCCTGCTTAAGCCTCCCCGTGCTGGAAATACAGGCAAGCTTCACCACACTCATTATGTTACTTGGGTTTTTTTGTTGTTTGTTTGCTTTTTTATGTATTTGGTACAGGGCCTCACTATGCAGCTTGGACACTCCAGTGCTGGGATTACAGGCGTGCACCACCACACTTGGTGGCAGAGCTGGTGGAGCATGTGGTACTGGGGATCAAACCCTGGTCCCTGCGCTTGCCTAAGCAGGCGCTTAGTCAGCTGAGCGATCTTGCCAGCCCACTTTCCCTGTTTTGAAGGGCTGTCCAGCTTTTGTTTTCTCTGCCGTCTACATCTTTCCCAGGGGGAGATTCTGTTTTCATCAGGCTTCTCTAGTTGATGAGGTGTACTAAGTGCCTAGCTGGAAGAGAAGCAGGAGGCAAAACAGGGAATGTTGAGGTCTTTCCTTGCCCGACACTGGAGAGCCTGTGTTGCCCAGGGCTGCTGCCGCGGCCAGGGTGCTGCTTCCTGTGGATGAGTGATGGTGAGCCAAAGAGGGAGAATGCCGTGGGCTGCCCTCCTGCCCACAGGGCCTCCCAGCTTGGAGATGCTCCCATCTGCTTGCCAAAGCAGCAGGCTTGCGGAGCCAAAGTTGGGTCATAGCTACTGTGCTATCTGTCTCGGTTACAAGCATGGTTAATTTTAAGATCCAGGGACATCTTTTGTAGCTTACTTCAGACCTCCTTCTGATTTTCTTTGCTGCAGGCCAACCAGGATCTCCCAACCAGAAGACAGCAGGCAGCCCAATAATGTGATCAGACAGCCTTTGGGTCCTGATGGGTCACAAGGCTTCAAACAGCGCAGATAAATGCAGGCAAGAAAGGATGCCACCGCTGCCGCTGTCACCACCTCCTGGGCATCAGCCACGGGTCGCACTGCTGTGGCAGACAGCCGGACTTGAGCAGAGGGAGCGACCTGACTTACTTGCACTGTGATCCCCTTGCTCCGCCCACTGTGACCTTGAGCCCCATGCACTGTGACCTTCCTTTCCCCCCTTCCCACTGTGATGGCATGTCCTGACAAGGGTTGTCCCAAGTCAATGGAAAGGGAAAGGGTGGGGTTAGGGGAGGGTTGGGGGGACCCACCAAGGACTCAGAGTAGAGAGTCAGACAGTGCCACTTGGCCGCTTGGGGTAAAGCCGGTGCCAGCAATAAGTTTATCATGCTCATTAATTTGGGATTTCAAAACACAAATGAGAACTTCACCTACCCGCCCCAAGTGCATGTCTTCATCACTTAAGAAGTGAGTTCCATTTGAGAATATCCTTTTTTTCCCCCTTCTTCCTATTTTTGTTTATACAAATATCTGATTTAAGAAAAAGTGCATGGGAGGGGTTTTAGCAGTTTAATTTTTTAATTGAGAAAGGGTAGTTTGGTAGTATACTTAAAAATGTTTCTGGTTTGTTCACTAGAAACATCAATTGATAGGATTTTGGTGAGCTTAGCTTCTATATTCCTACTGCCGCCCAGAAAAGGGGCAGGGCTCTGCAGCCCCAGGACAGGTGAGCACCCCATGCCTATACCTCCCTCCCGCAGCTCAGCCCCAGGCCCCTTGCCCTGCCTGGAGTCAGGGCTAGCTCTTCAGGCTCAGAGAGCCCAGGGAGGGTGCCAACCCCACCTCTAGTATTGTGGGAGATAGGGAAAGTGACAGGCTTCCCCTTCCCGTACCCCTCAGGGTGGCTTCCTACCAGCCAGGCAAAAGAGCAGAGAGCATCAGGGAGTGAGATTGCACTCCTGGGCTTCAAATAAGCAAGGGATACAAGGCTTGGTCAGTATTTGCTGTGAGCACAGGAAGACCAGGAGAGAGTCTGGCTCCTGGATCTGAGCCTGCACCTGGTGCGGTCAGAGACTTTCCCACTCCAGCAAGGCTGGAACTTTCTCCTCTGATGGCTGCAGCTCGGTGACTCTACCTGCTACATTTCCGCTGTGAAATCAGTACCTCAGGAGCAGAATGATGAGTTAAGTAGGAGAAGGGAAAGCTGTGCGTTGCAGAGATGGATGGCCGACCAGTTCCCCAGAGGCCAGAGCTGCCCTTTCCTCCTCATTCCAGAGCAAGGGCCTGCTATGAAGACGGTTTCTCCTCTGGCCCTGGAACCTGGAGATTTGCTTTGATTCCTTGAGAAGACGCTAGCAAGGCGCTGCCCAGAGCAGCTTGTGTGTGTAGCCTGCCTCTGCCCAGCTCGCTTTTCTCTTGGGATGCACTGTGCCCTACCCTCAGCCAGCCAGGCGGCCTCCCCACTCCGGACCGATGGATGGGTTTTGGAGTGGTTGGTGTGGTTTTGGAGTAGGGCAGCTTGTGGTGGCCCAGGTGGCAAGCTGGATTTTGCAGGCTTACTCTGCATTGGGTATACCTGGCCAGGCCCAGGCATGTTGTAGGCCATCTCCTAAGGAGGAAGGACCAGCTGCCAGTTGAGCCTGCAACTGGTCCATGGCCCAGCCTTAGAACTGTGTGAAGCCAGGAATTGTCTGTGAACAGAGCCAGAGCAGAGGGTCAGTTAGTAAGAGAGGCAGTTGTAGAGTGGGCAGGAAGAAAGTTGGCTACTATCTTAATGTACTGCCCTGATCAGGTGTCCATACTCTAAATGTCTCGTACCCATCCCTCAAGCTGAGTGGCTTCTAACCAAGGCGAGACTCTCCTTTCTGTTGGAGAGGGGTGCCAAGGCTTGCAGGTGGGAAGTCCAGGTGGGCTGATGGTTCTGCCTTCCCCCTATCTGTTTCTGCGCACTACCCCCTCTGGTGGGAGCCAGAACAGCTGGTGTCTGGACTCAGCATGTGGTCAGGACTGTTGTCCCCACCTCTCTCCGGCCAAAGAAGGGACTCTGCCCACACCGTGCCTGTCACCCACCAGCAGTCATGCCTTTCTTTGGCTTCCCAGATGAGAGATGGCAGGCAAAATGAAAGAAAGCAGGAAACTATTATTTTAGGGGGAGGCGGGAGGGAAGATGGGAAAACGGTTTGGATTTTGTGTGGGTTTTTTTGTAGTTGTCTGTAACTTTCCTTAAGTGCTTTTTCTTTTCTTTCTTCTCTTTTTTAAAAGTAAGTTGCAGGCTTTGGCTTGGAAATCCCCGGGGAATAAGGGGCAGGACCCTGAGGCTGCTGCCCCTTTTATCTCCCTTCACGGTACTGTCCCTTCACCCACCTCCTCCCAGACCCCATGAGCCAGGCCTCAGTCCTTCCGGCTAACCGCTTCCCTTGAGCCACTACTCTGATGTCAGCCTATAACCAAAGGAGCTAGGGGTCCAGGCCTGGTGACCAACCCTTCTCAGCAATCAGGGTGCTCCCCACCTGCAGGCAGGATGCAACACCCTATCTGCTACCATCAGTCCCTTCCAGAGCCCACTTGCCCCGCCTAGCCCTGCCCTGCCCTGCCCAGCCATACCCTGCTCTGCCCCATTTGGGGGTGCCCTGCTCAGGGATGGGCCGGCAGGGTTGCACCCAGCCTCCCTGGCAAGCAGAGACTCAAGAGACCTCTGGGTTCTGTTTTATGGTCGTGTGATCCCAGGGGTGCACATGGGCCCCTTGGGTGTCTGAATAGAAGGGAATGGGAGGGGGCCACACCCCTGCATCTTGCTCTGCAAGTGCCGTGGGCAGCTGCCTACCCCCCACCCTACCCCTACATGCAGGCTCCTGAGTCGGCAGATTAAGCATTTTATAAATTGTATTTTAAATACATGTTTTAAACTTGTCAGATCCTTGTCCTTATTTTGACTTTTGGCCTTTTACCTCTTGCTGTGGCTGCTCGTTGTACCCAGGGGAGACATAGGCTGGGTGGTGCGTGGCTTGGGGCTCTAGAGAAGAAACCCCCGGGTCCTCGGGCTCAGTTGGGAGAGTAGAGGCTGAGGCCACTTCATGCTATCTCTCAGGGTCTCCCAGAGGCCAGGTCTTTCATGGGTACTTGGCTTCAGTTTCATGCTGCCTTGTGGGGCTCTCAGTCCCGAGGGGCAGACACTCGGGGGAGCGGGCAGCTTTATGCTTTGAGAAAGCACAGGTAAAGACTTTCTATGCAAGGGTCCTTGCGGCAGGAATGCCAGCCCTGGGTAGGGCCTTGGGATTCTCAAACCCAGGGGGCTGGGGCCCTGCACTGACGAGCCACATAGGCTGTGGAAACCTGGGCACCAGGCACAGAGGCTAAGGTCCTTGGTGTTTATTAGCTTACCAAGCCATAAAAACAAACGGCAGCTGCTGCCCAGTGGCCCATCTGAACTGCCTTGCTGGATTCCAGAGGGTCAGTGGGTTCGAGTGGGCAGGGCGCTGAGCCACTTTCCACCGTCAGAGCTGTGTTCCCTGGGGAAGAGTGGGGTGGAAGGATGATAGATGTTTGACCCTCTCCCCACAATCCTGCCAGGTGAGGGCCATCCCTGCCTGTAGCCTTCCTAAAGTGATGGAAGCAGCAGTGGGGCTGAGGCCTTTTTCTTCAGGGGGCCCAGAAAGGGATTGCTTCAGGGTTCAGTCCTGCCCTGCAACTAAGCCTGGTAATGTGGAACCAGGCTGGGGCAGAGCAGTTAGGTTCCTGTGTGGGAAAGGGCATAGTGCCAGTCCCAGCAAAATGGTGAGTACTACTGCGTCCTGCACACAGGACGTCCTCATTCTTTGGCGCCAGTGAAATGGTCTACACTGCTTGCTCCTCAGCCCTCCACAAAGGTCAGTGTTTTCCCTTTCTACCCAGTCTCCTCCCAGGCATTGTCTTGGAAGTATGGATTCCGCTAGTGTGTAGCCAGGGGCCTCCTGAGGAAGGAGGTAAGTAGATGGGCCTGAAAGAGGCCCTAGCCCTCTGGGCACTTACCTGCTTCCTTGGTGTCCTGACTGGAAGAAGAGGCTACGGGTGCTGGGGTTCTGGCTAGCTGGTGCGCACTGGTCCAGCATGTTGTGGCTGCCCTGCTTCCGACGTGCCATCTTCTTGTTCAGCCGAGGGCAGAGAGGGGTGCAGGGGGCCTGGGCATAGGGGCTCTGTAGGTTGGGAGCTAGTGGGAGAGGTATGTTTCAGAGTGGTGGCCTCAGGATTGTAGACCCAGGGAAAATCGTGGCTTTCCATAGGATTTGTGAGCTGCGTGGGCTTGGCTAGAGATGATGAGGATTAAGGAGTTGACACAGGGCCAACCAAATAGCTTACCAGGTTAAAGCGCCTGCAAGCAGGCACAGGGACCAGCGTTCATCCCCCTCCCCCGTGCTGGCCCCGCCCTCAGGGCACAAGCTGAGGCACCAGTTAGGACTGGGCGTGGTGACACATACACCTGTAATCCCAGCTCTTGGGAGGCAGTAAACAGGCAGATCACTGAGTCTGATCTGGTACTGAGACCCTGAACACCCTGTAAGCCCTTCGAAGAAAAGGAGTTGACACATTAAAGGTTTGATGACTTGGGTCCTGGCATAGTCTGCCAGGCGCCCTGGGAAGACTGCAGGGCCCTTTGCTCATCACTTGGCACACTACAGGAGCCTAATAAAGGACACCAGGACATGGGGGGGAGGTAGTCTTGCAGCAGAAAGACAGGCTTTTGGGAGCTGGGGAGATGGCTCAGTGGAATAAGCACTTCCCTGGCAAGTGCAAGGGCCTGAGTTCAATCCCCGGTTCCGCAAAAAGATAGGTTTTGGTGTTGGGCCTGAGTGTAAACTCCCCTTTCCGACAAAGCTTAGGGGGATCAAGGAAAAGTACTTAAAACTCCCTTGGTTTGTTTTTTTTACCTGTGTAAAATGGAGTATGTAATTAAATTTTGGACCACAGCAAAGGGTCCCATGTTATTAACTCCCAGTGGGCCTCATGTCAGTGGGGAGCTGGGAGATTGCCTATCTCTACAGGCCTGGCTGTTGGGAGCAGCCTGTCCACAGGGCTCCAGGGGGAGGGGAAGAGTCATCACAGGACGTGTAGGCACAGGGCTGGACATTGGATAGGGATGGCCAGCTGTTCCTGATGTGTGTCGGTAAGCCCGCAGTGGGAAACCCGGCCTCTCAGCTTGTTGGGGGCAAGTAGGCAGGAGAGCTAAGCCCCTTTCCCAGCACAGCCGCCCAGCTCCTCACCATTCTGTTTCAGCCGGCTCAGGAGGCTGAGGACCCTGTGTTCTGGGGCTTCCAAACGGTCTGCCTGCTGGTGGTTGTAGGAAACCTGCTTCCGTGGCCGCAGCTGGCCTGAGGCTGGTGCCATCTCTCGGGCTGTGCAGGTGCCTTCCTTCAGCTTCTTCTGGTAGTAGCTGGGGAGGCAGCGTCCACCTGGCTCAGCCTGGTGGTGGTTAGTTCATGCCACCCCACTCCTCCTGATCCCCTTTTCTCTCAGATGAGCTCTGGAGCGGGAACACAAGCCCAGGAGCTAGGAGACCTGGGTTCTGGTCTCCGCTCTGCCTGGTCTTCCTGTGTCCACCGGCCAGTACTGCCCTGCTCTGGGCCTCAGTGCCATGTGTAAAGTGTGGGATGACAGCACTGACCCATCACGGCAAGTCATCTGACTCCTGAGGTTCAAGTGCCCACCTCCACCCCGTCCTTAGCACGGGGATTGAATGCATCACATGGGATAGGGTTGCTGACGAGCCTGTCAGCACATGGACCATCTGCTTCAGAGAGCGTGGTCCGTTAATCACCATCTACGAAGATGTTTATCTTTTCATTCGTGATACTTGCCTCTATCATTTGTACTTTTTTTTTGCGTATTTTTTCATATATTTATTTGCCATTTTTTCCCCTTAATTTTATTGAGAGACAAATAGCAATGAGACAGTTTCAAATCAAGTTGGTAGGACAGTTTCAATAATTAACACATTGCATACTCTCTTCCTAGTGGTGTCATTTGTACTTAAATGCACAATTATTATTATTATTATTATTTTTTTTTTTCAGAACCAGGGATTGAATTCAGGTCCTTGAGCTTGCCAGTCAAGTGCTTACCCTACTGAGCCATCTCCCCAGCCCCCACAATTCTTTTTTTTTTTTTTTTAATTTTTTTTTTATGTGTGTGTGTGTGTGTGTGTGTGTGTGTGTGTGTGGCCAGCTCAGCCCACCAGGGGGCGGGTCTGGCTGGCATGTGGTGCTGGGGTATTGAACCGCGGTCATCTGTGCTTTTGCTGAGCTTGTTCTAAGTAGGTGCTTTAGACCACTGAGCCATCTCACCAGCCCCCCACAATTCTTTTTAAACCCGCTTTGCAGCTAACTTCTTCTGCTCCATTTTCCAACCTGAGGGCCATCTGAAAAGCCCATTGTCCTCTCCCTAGGGGCTGTGTGCACGCCCCTCACAGGTCCCCAGTGACTTGTACTTACCCCAAGGAACCCACAACCTGCTTATTATCTATTTTTCTTTTTCCTTTTTTTTTTTTTTTTTTGTGCTACCAGGGATTGAACTCAGGACCTTGTGCTTGCCAGGCAGGCGTTTGAGCTGTCTGTTGAGCTATCACCCAGCCACAACCTACTTATTATCATTTGGCTTTTCTCCCTCTAGGCTGCAGCACTGTTCACACAGCAAATTTTCACTCAGTGTGCACCATACTGGCCACGCTTCTAAGTGCCTGGGAAAGTGTTGCAGGAGACGTCACACAGGGCCCCTGTTGTCATTGGTCTCAGCTGTACCTACAGTGACAGTCACTCCCACGAAGGCTTTTGCAACTGCACAGGGACAATCTGCACAGTGTGCCTAAGGCCTGCCCCGAGCCTCTGACACAGGTGTCACCACTCATGGTTCAGAAAGTCGTGGGGGTGCTTGACTGAAGCTCACTTGCATTCTCCCTCCTTTGCTGTTTACCCCTTGCCCATCTCCTGTTCCCCGGAATCACTTCCCAAATAACTACCTGGACACAGACCTAATGGAACCTGGAAGCAGACCATGAACAAACAAAAATACGAAACAGGGAAAGTGAAAGGATAGGGGTAGTGATGAGGGGCAGCAGTTCGGCTCAGGGTGGTCTCTAAAGGTCTGAGGATGACATCTGATCAGAATGGGATGAGGGAAAAATCCCAATGGAAATCTGCAGGCAGAGCCACCCCCACAACGGGATGGCATCGAAAGGCTAGGTGGTAGGAAGGAGCTTGGTGACTTAGGGAGGAGTGAGGCAAGAGGGGCTGGAGCCCCACGTGTAGAGTCAGGAAGACGCAACAGCGAGATGGCAGGGCTGTCCTATCTGGCTTTGAAGGCAGCGGTGCGGGGTGCACAAGCTGCTGCTCCGTGTTGGGAAGCCCTTAGGGCTGGCACCACAGGGTCTCCTAGGGCCTTGGCCTGGAATCGCGTTTTAATGTTTCAGTGAGCCTCACACACAGGAAACTAACCCACCAGAGCGTCTCACATTGGGAGGTTGCATGTAGATCCCAGTGTAAAATTATGGGCGCCTCCCTCCCCCACATCACTCTGCATAGAAAATGACTTCATCTGTAAATATTCAAAGAAGAAAAAAAAATGACCTCATGGGAGCAGGATGTATAACTTTTTCAGTCATAGTTTTAGAGGAAATTGCTTGCTTTTTGCTTCCTTTTTCCCATTTCCTATGTGCTTGAATTTTGATGTGTGCAGATGTGGGTGGTTTAGGACTGATCTGAGGAATGTGAAACAATAACAGCACCTTCTTTGGCTCCTTGCCCTTTGCTTCATCCATTGGTCAGTGTGGGAAAACCGAACTGCCTTGTTTGAACTCTGATATATTGGGAATACTTTGGTTTCAGATTGTATAAATCTTTCCCCCTCCGATATTTTGGGGCCCATTCTTTAACACACCAGCCTAAAATTCCATATGCCACAGTAGAATAACCACATTTGTAGCCATACAAAATCTCAAAAACAAATTGCCTCTTATGCATCTATTCTTTTTTTTTTAATTTTTTTATTTTTAAATTTTATTTAAATGGCTGGCATGTGGTGCTGGGGGATTGAACCATCGTCCCGTGCTTTGCTAAGCTTGTTCTAAGTAGGTGCTTTAGACCACTGAGCCATCTCACCAGCCCTTATGCATCTTTTCTGAAGAAGCTCCTGGGGGAATAGCACACAGCAAGCTGAAGCAGAAAGGTAGCAAGTTCCAGAACAGCCTGAACTACAAAATGAGAGCCTTCCTGTCACATACAGAAAAGAAAAGAAACAGAAAAGCTTTGGGGGACATGTTCCAAAGTAAGCATAAAATAAAAGTTTTGCATATGTAAATAGGAGCTCTGACACAGGAAAAAGGCAGGGGGATGGGAGGGAGATCCCCCACTGGCCATCCAAATGCCTTAATGGAACCATTTCACAGATCATTGCTGAACAGGAAGTGTGAGGACATCCTTGTGGTTGAGTTACTGTCTTTTTAACTCAGGAAAGCTCCTGGGGAAACATGCTCTCATCAGAAAAGAAAGGAAGAGAAAGAAGGGCAAGAAGACCAAGAAAGAGATTCAGGAAATGGAGAATCCACATCAGAGGAAGAATTCCTGGGGTGCCGAAGAGCCTAGGATGGCAGCTCTGTGGCAGGCCTGATGGCGGTTTCTCCAAAAACAAGGATGGATTTCCTTACAATGTACCTCCAAGAAAAACAGCAGGTGCAGGAAGAATTATCAGTGGTAACAAACAAAACCCATGAAGGCAATTGTTAACTAGGAATTTTCTCCTGGGTTAGTTTCTCCCCAGGAGAAAAGGAAGGAAATGAAATCAGCACAGATTGAGCATTTCTAATCTAAATAGCCAAAGGCTCCAAAATCTGAAATTTTGAAATCCAGTGTTTGATTCCACAAATGGAAAATTTCACACTTGACCAACATACATGCATAAAAATGCTGTATAAAATTACCCCCAGGGCTATGTATGTAAGGCATATATGAAACACACATGAATATGTTTAGGCTTGGGTTCTATCCCGAGGTATGTCTTTATATTCAAAAAATTTTTTAATCTGAAACACTTTTGGCTCCAAGCATTTTTCTTTTTTTTGGCGGAACCGGGGATTGAACCCAGGCCCTTGCGCTTGCTAGGGAAGTGCTTATTCCACTGAGCCATGTCCCCGTCCCCATTTTTTTTCTTAAATGTATGTAGTACAGGGTCTACAGAGTCCCCCTACACAGATGGACTGAATGTAATCCTCCTATTTTCAGTCTCCCAAGCACTGGGATTACAGGCCTGTGCCACCACGCCCAGTCTCAATTGCCAGTCTCAGTGCACTCTGGGGATGGGGCCAGCATGGCGTACCAAGATGGAAAAGCATTTCAGATAATGATACTAGACACCCATGTACTAAAAGGCTTAGTTGCTGAGCCATAGCTAATAGAAACCCCACATACGGAACAAGACAGAGGTAGAGAGGTTTTATTTTATTTTATTTCTTGCACTTGCCAGGGAAGTGCTTACTCTACTGAGCCATCTCACCGGCCCCGAGGATATTTGTATCTGACAGCTAAATTCTTAGCCGCAATAACAGGAAGTGAAGAGAAAAAATTGTAAGGATCACAGTGTGATCCTAGTATGATCAAAAGCTATAGTGAATATTTAAATTCTTAAAAGTTTTTGACAGTAAAAGATACATTACTATTAATCTCCCTCAAAATCCTTCCCCGAACCCTTAAATACAATCTATTTTTCTTGCCACTTTCTGAAGCCATCCCGGAAGTCCTCTTTGATGAGTGTCTTTAGTCATATTGTCTTGGCTGCCTCAATGTCCTAAACTGACTCAAAGTATTTACCACCTTTCATGGTCATTTTGGGCTTTGGGAAGAGATAGAAGCTGCAGATCCAGTGAGGAGGTGGATAAAGGTGCATTGTAATGTTTCTATTGAAATCAATGGCTGTAAACAGTTGATGAACAAGAAGTAATTGGGCTGGGATTTAGCTCAGTGGCACAGTGTCTGCCTGGCAAATACAAGGTCCTGAGCTTGATTTCCAGGTACAGAAAAGACAAAAAAAAAAAAAAAAAAGCTCAGGCTGCCTTAAGGGCGGGGCTGGTGCAGCACCTGGTGCTGGGGATTGAACTGCCCTGCGTCGGTTTGCCCAAGCAGGCACTTTAGACAACTGAGCTAACCCACAGGCCCCCAAGTGACTTTTCTTTTTTTAGTAAGGGTCTACACAGTCCCGGGGTGTCACTATTAGATCGGACTTGTAGTGATCTGCCTGTGTTCAGCCTCCCAAAGAGCTGGGATTACAGGTACCTGCCACCATGCCCATCTCAATTGACATCTCTGCGCTTGAAGGCAAAGCGGGGCCACCACAGGAGGCTGGGATTGAACCCCTGCCACTGGGCTCTGCCTAAGCAGGTACTTCAGTTCGCTGAGCTATCTGGCTGGGCTCTCTATTCAGCTTTTAAAACAATATCCTCTCACTACTTTGATTTAAATTTTTTAACAAATTGGGGTCTGGTGAGATAGCTCAGCGAGCTAAAGCGCCTTCAGTTTGATCCCGGGGACTGCACGCCTTGCCAGCCCCACCCCCATGGCAGGCTGAGCCAGCCACAAGTCCGGGCCTAATTATATAGCCTGTAATCACAGCACTGGGGAGGCTGAAAATAGGAGGATCACTGTTAGTCCAAGCTGCGTAGTGAGACCCTGTAACAACCAAATACATTAAAAAGTAATAATAATAATAAAGTTAAGTCAGGGTGAAAAAACACGTATTTCCATACTGAACAAAAGTTGGTATAGGGCGAGCCGCGGCGGTGAGAGAGAGTGGCTTGGCCGCGGGTGGGTGGTGGGTAACCCAGCAGAAAGGTTGCCCTTCGCCGTGAGCGGCAGCCGGACTTGGGCGAGTTTCTATAGAAGCTGCAACCATCTCCATCCTTCAAAATGCAGTGGCACATACTGCGGACTGCGTCTTGGCTGACACACAGGATATGCCTGGAGTCACAGACACCTGGGCTGTTTGGACACTGTCAGCACATGAAGCGATCATTGTTTTTGCACTATGCCAAGTCCAAAGCGGTTTGGGCACAAAGCCCGCAAGAGCGGTTGCTGCACTTACCTGTAGCCCAGTACCCAGCAGACGAACGAAAAAAGTCATCAGCCACACAGCCTTTAAAGTCCAGGATCCTTTACTACAAACAGTGGGTGTGGGATGTTTCATCTACCAGGGGCTTATCATCCAGCACCACTCAGGGAACACCTTCAGAAAAAAAGGAAGAGCCTGATCCTTTACAAGACAAATCGATTAGTCTTTATCAGCGATTTAAGAAGACATTTCGACAATATGGGAAGGTTTTGATTCCTGTACATCTAGTAACTTCTGGTGTTTGGTTTGGAACTTTTTATTATGCAGCCATAAAAGGAGTGAATGTCATTCCTTTTCTAGAGCTCTTTGGGTTACCTGACAGTGTTGTGAGCATCCTGAAAAACTCCCAGAGTGGAAATGCCCTGACAGCCTATGCAATGTTCAAGATTGCAGCACCTGCCCGATACACGGTGACCTCGGGAGGAACATTTTTCATGGTGAAGTATCTGCGTGGTCGTGGCTACATGTCAACCCCACCACCAGTCAAGGAGTATCTGCAGGACAGGATGGAAGAGACCAAGGAGCTCATCACGGAGAAGATGGAAGAAACCAAGGACAGACTCACAGAAAAGTTGCAAGAAACCAAAGAAAAAGTTTCCTTTAAGAAAAAAGTGGAGGGCTGGAGAGATGGCTCAGTGGTCTAAAGCACCTACTTGAAACAAGCTTGGCAAAGCACAGGGACCTCGGTTCGATCCTCCAGCACCGCATGCCGGCCAGCCCCGCCCCCTGGTGGGCTGAGCTGGCCACACACACACCCCCCCAATAAATAAATGCAATAAATAAAAAATAAATAAATAAATAAATATTAAAAAAAAAAAAGAAAATTTAAAAAAAAGAAAAAAGTGGAATAGGGTGCCTTATATAACACAACCTACAGGCATTTCCTGTGTTTAACCTTCTGGCAACTTTGGGCATAAATACATATTTCTGATGAAATTTTTTTGGTTAATTGCCCAAAAAATACCAGTTCTTTGAGGGTTAAAGACCTAGAATGCCTTTTTAAAGTTAAATATAGGGGCTGGAGAGATGGCTCAGTGGTCTAAAGCACCTACTTGAAACAAGCTTGGCAAAGCACAGGGACCGCGGTTCGATCCCCAGCACCACATGCCAGCCCGACCGCCCCCTGGTGGGCTGAGCTGGCCACACACACACAATAAATAAATGTAATAAATAAAAATAAATAAATATTTAAAAAAAATAAATAAATAAAGTTAAATATAGAGGCTGGGGAGATGGCTCAGTAGAATAAGTGCTTCCCTGGTAAGCGCAAGGGCCTGAGTTCAATCCCTGGTTCCGCAAAAAAATAAAAAAATTTTAAAAATAAATAAATAAATAAATATCACTAGAAAAATCAGTGTTTTTAAAACAAAAGTGAGCCCAGTATAAGAATCTTGCATTGTAGAAGCAATAAGCAGTGGCTAATGTCTTTCATACCAGGGCTTTCTTCCCAGTCCTGGGGGTCACACTGGTGCTGTTTCTCCCCAGCTATGTTGTGTGCAGGCAAGGCAGTTAGCACTAGGAGACACTGGAAAAGTTGGCACTTGGTATGGCCTACGCACAGCCAGACTATTGACACTGGGTCATAGTCTTTCTGTTCACCAAGGTTTAATGCATTCACTTCTTAATGGGGAGCCACTTTTCACCCCCCAGGCTGCCTGTGAACAGGAGGGGAATGTAGTCATTCTATAAAAAGCATCTAACACTTACCTGCCATTTAAAATAGAGACATTGTATGAAGGAAGTTGAATAAAAATTCAATCTTATATATGCAAAAAAAAAAAAAAGTTGGTATAGCCACATTGTTAAAAACAAGACAAGGTCTGGCAAGATAGCTCAGCACACTGCCAGGGAGATAGCTCAGTAGAATAAACACTTGCCTGGCAAGTGCAAGGTCCTGAGTTCAATCCTTGGTTCTGCCAAAAAAAGATAGTTCAGCAGACTATAGGCCTGTTTAGGCAAGCTCAGGGACCGGGGTTCAATCCCAGGCACCCACGCCATGCCGGGCAAAACTAGCCTCATGACAAAAAGCAGACTGGAGAATTCACTTTGGGAAATATAAAATACTAAACATGAAATACAAAGGAGAGAAACAATTCCTCCATCACCCTGGTGATAATGAACAAGAGGAGAAAGGGGCCCTCCGAGTTATGGTAGGATGCCCACCAATAAGTGAGAAAAAAAGGATAGCGTTAGAAAGCCAGCATTAGGGGCGGGGCTGGCAAGGCATGCGGTGTTAGAATTATAGCCATGGGCTACCACCATCAGCTGCACTGCTCTTTCATAAAAAGCCATTTTTACTTGAAAAGGAAGAAACATTGGGCTTGGAGTGATCCCTCAGTGAGACAGTATATGTTGAGCACATGTAGAGCTCTGGATTTGTTGCCTGAGACCAAAACAAGCAAACTATGGTTATTCATCCTTGAGTATTTTGTAGATATTTTCATGAAAATGCAGTTAGTCCATTCCTTTAAGTAAAACACCTAGGGGCTGGTGAGATGGCTCAGTGGTCTAAAGCACCTACTTAGAACAAGCTTAGCAAAGCACAAGGACCGTGGTTCAATCCCCCAGCACCACATGCCAGCCAGCCCCGCCCCCTGGTGGGCTGAGCTGGCCACACACACACACACATAAATAAATTAATTAATTAATTAAAAAAAAAAAACACCTAACAGGGCCAGGGATGTAGCTCAGTGGCACAAGTGCCTGCCTGGCAAGTGCAAGATTCATGAGTTTGGTTCCAAGTACTATCCCTCCCCCCAAAAAAGAACAACTTTCATTTAGAAGTAATTGTTATTTAAATGATTGTTGCCTACAAAAATGTTTGAGGTTTTGAGTACAAATTAGAATTTTAGAAAACAGTGCTGGGGGGCCGGGGAGATGGCGCAGTGGAATAAGTGCTTCCCTGGCAAGTGCAAGGGCCTGAGTTCAATCCAAAAAGAAAGAAAGAAAGAAAGAAAGAAAGAAAGAAAGAAAGAAAGAAAGAAAGAAAGAAAGAAAGAAAGAAAACAGTACTGGGGAGATAGCTGGGCAGTCTAAGCGCCTGCCTGGCAAGTGTGAGCACCCTAATTGGATCCCCTGTACTGCATGCTGTGCTGGCCCCAGGCATGGTGGTGTACACCTGTAATCCCAGTTCTAGGGAGACTGAGACTGGAGGACCAGTACAAGTCCAAGCTGTATAGCAAGACCCTGTACCAAATAAACAAATGATATATTTTTTTTAAAAGGAATTTTAGAAAAGATGTCTACTACCATAAACATATATGTATTAATACACAAAACAGTTTATAGCAGTGAAAAAATGAATGAACTCTGATCTCTTTTTTTTTTTTTTTTTTGCAGAACTGGGAATTGAACTCAGGCCCTTGCACTTGCCAGGCAAGCGCTTATTCCACTGAGCCATCTCCCCAGCCCCTCTGGTCTCATTCGAGCCTTACAATCACCATGGTTGAAAGCTGGCGTTTAGGAGCTGCATGCATAAAATGTGTCCATGTTTAAGACCAGAAACTGAGGTGTGAGATCGAGAGACACTGTGCAGATGCCAGTGCCACTCTGCTTCCCGGCTCCTTCCAGCCCTGCAGTACCCGTATGTTCCTGCCTGCAGCCATGTCTCCCTCAGGTGCCTCCACCCTATCTTATCTTCCCTGGGTACAGGCAGGGCTTAGTACTTTGGCCACAGGTGGAGTCCCTCCAGTCCTCTCCTGGAATTGCTGTGTGGGCAGCTCAGGAAAAAACTCCTCCTCCACTAAAGTGATGGAGTGGGGCCAGGAAGATGGCTCTTCCCTGAATAACTGCTTCCCTGGCAAGCGCAAGGGTCTGAGTTCAATCCCCGGTTCTGTCAAAAAAATAAAGTGGAGGGCCGGCCAGATAGCTCAGTGAACTAAAGCACTTGCTTAGGCAAGTGCAGGGGACTGAGGTTTGATCCCTAGGCCTTGCCAGCCCCGCCCCTGCCCCCTGGAGTGCGCTGGGATGTGACTGAGACTGGGTGTGGCGGCACACTCCTGTAATCCCAGCACTTGGGAAGCTGAAAACAAGAGGCTCACTATGAGTCTGATCTGTGCAGTGAGACCTTATAGACTCTGTATTAAATACACTGAAGTGGCAGAGCTAAAGGCTATGGGCATGGGGCTCTGTCCCCGCCGTCCCACTGGAGACAGACTCCTGAATTTGTAGCCTGGATATGGAGAGGTAAAGCCTTAGTCTCCTGGTTCCCGTCTTTCCTGAAGCTCTGACCAGTTGTTTGAGCCAATGTAACCGCTTTGGTTTAAGTCAGTTTTTTGAGACAGAGTCTCGCTATGTAGTTCAGGCAGGCCTTGAACACATGGAAATCCTCCTGCTTCAGCTTCCTCAGTGCTGTATTTCAGCCAGTATATCTAGGTTTTTTTTCATCTGCAACAGGGTCCTTGCTGTCAAAACTTTTCTGCTGCCAAAACACTAGATGTCACCTTTGCAGCCCCAACCCCAGCCCCCAAATGCACCGGCCCTCCTCACCTGGTAAGCTCCTCTAAGACTGTCTCAGGTAAGGCCAGCATCTCCACTAGTACAGACAGGATCTCAAAGAGCAGAGTGTGGGGGTTCGGGACAGCCATGTTTGTCACAACATTCTGTTCTGGGGACACGAGATAGTGGCTGCCGTTACCATCAGATGGGCCTAGGTGCGTCCCCCATCAGCACTGTGGATCCTCCTCCAGCTCAGCTGCCCCGGGCAGGGCCTTGCTCACCCACTGAGCAGAAGAAGCGCCTGGTGTCTGTCATCACAGCCAGGAAATCTCTGAAGTCCACGTGACCATCTCCTGCAGAGGCCAGAGGAGGAGCAGGGTGGGCAGGGGCCTGGTAGAGCGGGCCCAGGCCCTGAGACCCAGCCATGGTCACCAGATCCCTCACTGGGTCTAGTTACAAAGGTGACACTTGTTCAGGGCAGATGCCATGGTTGTGGATGTTGGGTGAACTACTATTAGCTCCTGGGTTAGAAGCTGCTGGAAGTCAGGTCCTGGAGGGGGCAGTTCCTATCCCAGCCCTACCATCCCTGTCGATGGCTTTCAACCTCCGTAAGCTCAGTTTTCTCATCTGTAGAGGACAATTGAAAGCCTGTCACACCGAAGACAAAAGGAGTGCTTAGCGCCAGACCATGTCCACAGCAGCAGCAATGTGGCTACCGAGTGGGGGCTCCTCACTGAAGAAGACACTCACAGCAGTCCCATCTTGGCCTTCAAGGCCCTGCAAGATTTCCTGCCTGCAGATTCTGCCGGCCAGGCCCTCTGCTCACGCGCTTCCTCTTCCTGGAACCCATTTCACTCCCACTACACCTTTCAGGCTTCCCCTTGACCACTGTGTCCTCAGAGGCCCAGACCAAGCCAGGTCAGATCTCCCACGAAGCCTCTTGGAAAACTCTTGTTTTTTTGAGACAGGGTCTCACCCTGTAGTTCAGGCCTGGCTTGAGCTCACTATGTAACCCAAGCTGCTTTGAACTCAAAGCGATCCTCCTGCCTCAGCCTCCTGAGTGCTGGGATTACAGGTGTACGCCATCACTCCCGGCCTAACCACACACTTTGGAATTTGATGGAATTTTTTGTAGGCAAGAACAGCACATTTTGTTCTATGCTGTGTCCTTGGGACTTGAGACAGGTTTGTGCTCAGTTGAAATACTCAACAAACACTTATGTGGTCTCTGAAGGCATCCTTGGTGCAGCTTGGTAGGCTTAACCCCCGGTCACAGGTGAGGCTTAGGCTCGGTGAAAAGCAGGCCGCTGCTCAGGCTCACAGGGGCCCAGCCAGGTCATTCTTGGTGGTGCTTGAGGATTCCTGGCTGTGCCACCATGGAGGGAGCAGAGTCGTGGCACCCAGGGGTGAGGAACCAGGCGCTGCACAGATGTGCACCTGCCCTGCACACCTTGCGTTCAGCTACACACCGTCCCACAGGATTCCCCCTGTGTGCCCTCGTCCCCTTGCACTGGCTTCCTCTCTCCCTGCCTCAGGCCTGCTTAATCTTTTACAGGTTGGCCCCAGGATCACCTTCTCTGGGAAGCCGTCCTTCCTGACCCTTTCTTTTCTTTCTTTCTTTCTTTCTTTCTTTCTTTCTTTCTTTCTTTCTTTCTTTCTTTTTAACATTTATTTATTTATTTGGTACAGGGTCTTGCTATAGGGCTCAGACTCAATGATCCTCCTGTCTCAGCTTCTCCAGCACTGGGATTACAGCCATTCACCACCATGCCCTGTTTCGGTGGCCGGCACGGTGTAGAGACAGCATGGCATGAGGTACTGGGGATTGAACTCCTGTCCTTGTGTGCTTAAATGGCTGAGCTATCTGCTCAGCCCTCATTATTTTTTTAAGCATTGGGAATCAAACTCAGGACCTGTGCTTGCCAGCTTGATTCTTTCTTTAAGCCTCTTGAAGTTCTGCTTTTACCAGTGCTCCTTAACTTTGGTTGGCCCTCGTTCAAAGGCAGTGCCAGTGGGTCCTGCTGGGTAGCTGGGTCACAGCAGGGACACAGTAGACACCTACTAAGTGGTTCCTGGATGAACAGTACTAGTGGCTAAGGTCTCCTGGGTAGGTTCTGTGCACCAGGCACCATGCTGCGATGGATGCTTTGCCAGGATTATCTCATTTTGTCTTGACAGAAGCCTGGTGAAGTGGGCACTGTTATCAGCCCCCTTTTATAGATGGAGAGACCAGAGTGGAACAAACTTCTGTG